TGGCACGTAGTTGGACGTCATGCCTTTGACACGTAGACCGAATTGAAATTCAGAACAGTTGTGAAAATTAAAATATGTCAGTAATACTACTACTACAAACGAAAATTAAGTTACATTTAATTCAGTTGTCATATCTTCGGACAATTTCATAGAACATGACGTATTCGGATACGTCATCTCCCATATCAGCGGCTTCATGATACGATTGCTTTCTGATATCTCTTTGGGGTGCCAACAATTCGGGGTAACCGGAAAATCCGTACTAAGTCCTCAGTTAGTAACAATAATAATGTGACATATAGACCCATTGGCAGGCAACGACTCAGTTAACACATCCCGATGCATAAGCGTTCAATAATAGAACATCCATTGCTAGGTAACAGAACCATAAACACGCATTCTTGACAACAGAAGACGGTGTTTTCCGTGAGGTCCGTGTCGATGAGTTATAAGAGGGCACAGTCAGAAGACGGGACAGAGTACAACGGAGTAGTGGAGTAGTGAAGTGTGGTCAGTAGACGAGAGTGCCCAGTCGAAGATAGTGATTTCTAAAATGTAACAAGTTGTATAAAGGTCCAATAAATTCGATCATCAGATCCAAACCCCGTTTTATAGGTCACGCATGCCCCTAATATGTAACAATAGTAACATACCAGAATACTGGGATGGCAAAACTACAACGGTGAGGTAGCTATAAAGTTGTCCCTCTTTTTAATTAAGCTCCACGACATGAATGTGTGTGGGGAAATTGAGGTATAACTCCATGCATTTTTAATTTCGGCACTCTGGTCTCTTTACCTCAAGGGACAGAGCCGTCAGTCCCCATTTGATTGAAGGCTGAATGGGCCCAAGTATCGGTCTGGAATCTGTGCCGATGGGAGGGTCTCTAGTCGGGAACCGAACCCAAATCCTCTTTTATGAAGCCCATAGCCATCTAACTGTACCGACAGGACTATCAAGTTCTAGGTCCCTGAACACAAGGGGAAACACTAGGAACTGATTACTTTCATTCAGAAATCATAGCGACATTTCGTAAACAAAGATAACTAGGTCCCTAACGTAACAGTTAAAAAAACATAATACTTTAGTTTTGATGAAGTTACAAAAACAATATTATTCACATTGGGACCTTTCGGCTTCAGATACCCCATAATCTGGTAGGCAGTTATCAACGTTTCGGAAGAACACACTGTTTTCATCTTCAGGATAAGAATGGCTGCCTTGAAAGTGCATACAATATGTCCTTCCAAAAAAAACTTTGCGAAGAGGAGCTTATGATTTTTGTAAAAAATAAATTCAGTCTCCCAATTTCCAGACCTTGTAGCTGGGCTGATCACTCGTCCAAAGAGTCCTACCGTATGTAAAAAATGATTAACGGAACTGAAAAAGAGGACTGGGCCCTGAATGGGCTGGAAGAGCCATTAGAAAACAAAAAAGACACGTAATTCCAGGTGTATTCTGCGAGGCAAGTCGACAAAATCAAAGTGATGCAGTTGTTAATGCAGTTAATTTATAAAAATGATCCTGGTGATTAATGACTATATTATTAAGGCGTGAAAGGAGCGTCGAAGTAAAATATCAAGCGTCCTAGTGTTTGGCATTCACGTATCTCTCACTTCATACCAGAAGAGACTATGGTACTTATTTCACAGGAGAGTAGACTGATTCCACAGCCGATGAAAAATCTTTCCCTTGCCGAGAATCGAACCCGGTTCGACCAGCCATTAGCTAGTTGTTAACTGTACTATTCAATCATATGGTGAAATTGAGAGCTATAATTAAATGTGATTAAGAGAAATTGTAACCAAGGTGCCAATAAATCCAATCAACCGAAATATACCCCGTCATTCTTGTCACGCGTACCATCCTACACTTGACAATATATTCTTTTCGTCGCATGTTTTGTTGTAGGTGAGCCATCAAGAAAGAAGAATTAAGAAATGCGCGCTGGAATGAAAGTTATCGTTCCTCGCATTCAGCATTACTGCACACTGGGCGTTGTAGTCTAGGTCAGTGATTGTTATCCATTTGTAACTTGGGATTCGCCGTTAAATTTATCAAAATTCCGAACTCTCACCCCAGTAAGAACGAACCTTCTTTCCTCCCAAGAATGTATGTTTACAGTTGTAGATTTTAGCATTTTATTAATCATTTAATATAAGTTCTTATTTTCCTGACCTCACTCTCCACCCAGCCGAACTTCATGCCTCACCGGTGGGACGCGTCCCACCAGTTGACAAACTCTTATCTACGAGCAGGTTACCTTGCGTGCCCTATATTTTCTCTGAACTTTACCACTGTTGAAGGGTAACTGTGCAGAAGTAATGCAGCACGACACAGCCAAAAGGTCAGATGTGTGGGCAGAGTCAGTGAATGTAATGTTACAGGATTACTGTCCACCAACATGCACTGAATTGTCTCACAAGTCCTAACACTTGTTGAACAAAGTGAGCTACAAATCTCACTGCTTTCATACGCACAAATACGGGCTTCAGTCTTGAATTCATAATGCCTACTTTCCTGCTGTAATAAATCTAATAATAAAATTTAATTTAGTTCATAGGTTAGTATGACAGTGTTACGAGTAAATGGTCATATATTCGAACCCAGCTAGAGTTAGTACATGCTTCGTACTTTCAATTCTATATGTATGACACGTAATAATAATGAAAACAATTTATTTTTAGAAAGAAATTATTACGGAAGTACAGTATTTGACTACGTTAAATTTGCTAATGTTAATCTCTAGTGCTCGTAACTTCTCCAAATTTTGTATCTGGCTTGGGGGTATTTTTATAACACATTTTAATACTAAATTTCATATCCATATCTCCAACAGTTCACTAATTATTGATGTCTCACTTAACACTAAGTGAATGTTTTCGCTCAGTCGCCATCTTGTTGTTTACATTCTAAGAGATCATATGTTCGTGTTGGTAGTTATAATGCTTTATACTTTTTGTTCATATTTTGTAATCCGAATTAAGTTTACAAAAAAATTTAACTGGTTAGGCCAATTTTATGGACGAGTAGGTCTAACAAATAACAAGGATGAAAACAAAATGTTAAGATTAACAGTGACTTTCCTGATGAGGCTCACTGTTACTGTAATATGAATGAAGAATGTATTCAACAAGTTAAGTAGCAAATTAAGGACGAAGCCAGGGCACAGCCTGAGAGGTTGCTAGACGGGACCGAACAAAGTTTCAGACACAATTGGTGAAGAGTTTTAGACTAGCAGAAATGAATCTGAATCGCCATTAAGCAATTGTTCTGAAGTTGTAACTACAGTGTCTAACACAAGTGCCATGCGTGCAAACTAAATACTTCATAACCAGGGCCCGGATTTTGATGACCTGAAAATATTTAAAAAATTACCGAAAATCCAGAAAAATGACCTAAAGGAGAAAGAAAAAGAATATTTCGCTTCCATATTATTCATATTTCAGGAAACATGAAGAAAAATTCCCTAAAATGACCAAAAATGACAAGAAATACCCTTAAAAGTCCAAAAATTTAACAAAAAATTACCCAAAAATGAAAAAATGACCTTAAACATAAAAATGTCAAAAAATGACAAAAAATTACTTATAAAATTTACATTTCTGTAACCAGCAGCTCATATCCGAGATTTATATATTTAAGAGCATCGCATAGGATACAAGGAAAAAAAAGATGACGTGTCATCAAAATCCAGGTCCTGGTCATAAGCATTGTTCATTGCACGGCTGTGGGTACTAGTAAGAGAGGGAAGATATGTGTGTTCATATATCCTGGGGTCATGGATGCCTGTCGGAGAATCTCTGTATCGTGTTGTGAACACAGAGTCCTTACGATGGACGGGGACTTAATCGAATTAATCCTAATGCCAACAAAAGTTTGGTAGTCAATACTAGAATGTCACTGCATGACCAAATCCCTACTTACTTATTACTTAAAATCACTGTGTCTTGTTAGTACACCGTATATAAAGTATGCAACTGAAACTGGATCGGTAGATAACCTGAGATTCAGCATTTTCCAACTTGAAGTTCCAGCCTGTAACAACTTGCATTAATATTGTAATGTAGAGCCGTTGCTAAGTAATGACTCTGTAAACAACGCCCGTTCCTAGGCAACTGATTTTTAACACGCATCAATACACTAACTTGGACAAGTATTCTCAACGCGGTACGTGCGACCGCTACAACGCGACAATAGAATTGTTGGGAGCGGTTTTTTTTTTCTATGCGGTGCGTGCCGAGATGTTATAATTAAGACAAGTCTAGAGTTTAGTCAGTTGGGAGGCAGTCGCTGGCCAGTAAGGGTATGAGCACGGAAGCTGAGAAAGCTACGGTGTTGAAAGCCGTTACCAGGCAACGACTGATAAAGACACAATGAACTGAAAAGACTTAATGTGTATTGTATTGAATTGTAGAGTGAGTTTGGATTAGCGATAGCGCTATAGTTACTTGTAGTTACGTTCTGAAAGACTTCAATAGATCCAATTACCAATCCAAACCCCGGCTATAGTCGCTCTAACACGAGAAATTATGTTTTAAATACATGTTGGAAATTTCAATCAGAAGAACAAACCGACGTGTAGTGTATGGGTGTGTTACATGCAGTTTCAGATATGTGTCTGTCATGAACTATTGTAAATTTATCGAGTTAATGTTAAAAGAAGGATAAACATATCAGCATGTCAAGGCCGAAAGATATACGAAGAAGCCCTCCTGCATTCTGTCGCGCGCAGGGGGAAGCAAAAATTGCAAGCTTCTCACATTCACACTCAATAATGGAGACAGTTCTTACCTTCACATGACCGTTGATATAGGAGCTAGCACGGCCATGACATAAGTGCTTACTTCAAATTCATTGTTGTCGAAGCAATTGAAGCTGTGGGCGAGAATGTGGTGTGTTAATTGGTTGTCCCCTGTTACAAGGTTCTATTCAAAAAAATATTTTGTTTTCCGTAGGCATCACATACTTCATAATAACCGTCCTGTTCTGACTTCCAGTTGGGGGCAGTGCATTTGCTGGAGGGACTGAGGACCTCCACATGAACCTCTGCATCCAGGATAACAAGGACCGGAGGACATTCGGATCAAACTCCTCCTGAAGACAGGTAGATTGTTTACCACTATACTGGTTTCTTTGTTTTAGCGTAATCTTCTTTGAAATATTATGTTTTTGGACATTATCCACCGTCTTGTCTTCCTCTAAAATCTGCCATGTTTGTTTTTCAAAACACAACGTTTCGGAAAATGTATTGTCTTCATCCTCAGGTGAAACCTACTTAGTTGAGCACAATAGATAGAACTAGTCCCTACCTCCGGAGATAAGGCCTAACTGACTAGGTTTTACCTGAAGACGGAGACAGAATCCAGTCTCCGAAACGCTGTGTTTTGAAAAATAAACAAGACGGTTTTTACATAAAGACACGACGATGGATGATGTCCAGAAACATAATATTTGTACTAATGTACCGCCGTCATAAACTTTTAGATCTTATTCGCTTTGAAATATTGATGCCTTTCACATAAGTTTCTTAGGATATCTAGCCCTAGTGGATATTCGATCTAAGTCCCTCCGAATAAATGGACAGTACTACTCAGATCATTTTTTCGTTTGCTTTTCTTGGAGTGACTAAAGAAAGTCACAAACTTTCATTCAGGTTAACCTTACAACTCGACCGAGATTCGAACTGGGTATCTCCCGAATATAATATCACTTTTTAGGCGGTTAACTAACCCCTTAATATATGACAATAAGTTAAGAGTGTTACCACTATATCCACTGCTCAGTCCTTCAAGTCACACATAAAGTAGGTTGGTAGCACTGATTGAGGTATCAAGGGGTCTCGGTGTACGAGTATTCTCTGGAGGCTGTCATACGAGAATTTGTTGTTTAGGCAGTTACTTTCTATCGAATGTCGACTGTTACTCAATATCAAATCCAAACACGTATACCCCTGCATATTGTTGCTTTTCTATTGTTGAGTTTCTGTCAATACCGTCTCAGAGGCTACTTCAATCTCTGTCTTCAGGCAAGGGAATTATCGAGGACAGGAAAGTACTTAACTCATTCAGTTGGGCCCGTGAAGCAGGGGCTAACAAAACAATGTGCAATGTCCAGGAAACCACCTTACATCACGTTAAAATGTTGTCTCAGATTTATGGCATTAAGGCACATTTAAATCACCAGCCTTTTGCTTGAAGTGCTTCCCAATACAATCATGGAGCCTAATTATAGAAACGAATATAACAATATGTGCCACCTCATAACACACGAACCTGTGGTCTCGTCAGTAGGCCTGCATGCGATTACGTAAGTGTATCTTGCCAGTATGGGACAGCACGAGCATGTTAATATTTCTAAGAATCTTGAAATTGCCTCCAGATACACTGCACCTTAAACGACATGAGGTGAGAGTCGACCTGACATCTACTTTACCCTTCAGAGGTCTCCAAACACAATTACCGAACGTAACTGTGGTAGCGAATAAAGAGCTTGCCGTATTTTGTCAATCGAGCACACGACCTCGAGGGTGTTTACGGTTTCTTAACGTTAGACGCTGCTGAGCTTATATATATGTAACGTCAGAGCGTATATAAATCTATTAACGTCATTCTGTTCACTAAAGCGGATAGATGTTCATGTATTTCAGTAAATTGCCATAAAGAATACCAAACGAAAATACACAAATCACACATCTGCAAGCTTACTCTAGTTTTTCTTTTGGAAAGAAACTTTCATTTCATTATATCGGCTTTCTTCAAACTCCTGTGTTGTGAGTTTTGGTGTTACATATCCGAAATCTCACACAGAAATGTGTTTTAATTCTATTATAATAATAAAATATCACTTTTTTTAGTTAGCTCTCTCGTAATTCCTTGATGATGTAACCAGAAGATCTCCGAAACGTTGAAAGTGTACTCCAGATTGATACTCGCCGGAGAAGATTTTACACCTCTCACTCACCGTGAAAATTTCAAAGGCTTTTATTTGAAATATGATGAATATTTACCATTCTTTACCGTTAACCTTGGAAATGAACCCACTGAACAATATATCAGTGTGAAAACAGCTGGCCAGCTAGAGAGGACATATCCAACTCCTTAAACGTCGTGTCCACAAAGTAACTTACAGTCAGATACTGGACAATGTTCAAGATCATGTACAGACAACAAAGATATAAATATAATACAGCAAGCAAGACAAGGATTGGGTACACAATGGAGATATATTTTGTAACATGTAAAGGTCACAGTTATTAAAATCGTCAAATGTCAAGCGATGAGACGTGACATAAATTCATTTTACTGGACTACATGTTGTGGGTGTGTGTACTGTTAAATTTATATGCATATACAATCGTTCGTTATGTTGTGATGAAGGATTTAATGCATGTATTACGAGTATGTGGCTGTTTAGCTCGGGGTTTTCTCTTCTAATTGAATGCACTGAACGCTCTGGGTTTTGCAATTCTGGTGATACTTTCCTCTTAGGCCTTGGATATATCTGCCATTCGTGATCTATGTGATGTACGTAGTTGCTAACGAGATTTTTTATGAAGTTGATGTGTAGATTAGTTTGCATAATATATGTTATGAATGTTGTCTCTTCGGAGATTTGAGCAATTGCATTGCTATTACATACCCCGTACATGCCTTTCATTCCTCTTTGCCACATAACCCTGATCTAATCTAGGGAAACAGTTTGATAGGAAACCTACTATATGTGTGAACACCAGAAAATATATATGTTATAATAATGAAGCTGGCTCTACGTCCAAAACACTTAGTTATAGTATATTGCCACATGATAGAGTGACTATAGACGGGTTTTGGATTGATGACGGAATTTATTGCACACTTTGATACAGCGAGCGACTACAGTTCACTATTACACACTCCAGTGTCCACAGTCACGTCTTCACTGCCGTTGCTTGGTAGCGATTTCCAACGGTGGACGTTTCCCTTCCTCTGTGTTTCCGAATTGTCCCCGGCCTCAGCTACCAGCTTCTAACAACAGCTCACAACTGCTGAACCAGCGATTCTAAGCAACTCCAGTCAAAGTCGAAGTCAATATGACCGACGGCTAGTCGGCCAGTCGAGCCCACATCTGGGACAAAGAACAGACATTTGCGGGTTTGTTGATGTGGGTCGCCCTATTGGACGAGAGGACGGTTCTGCCGTTTACAACTGCTGTGTGTCTTCGCCCGCCAGTCATACTAGGGTCCGAGTCCCGAGGGTCTCATGACTATATTTTACTGTCTCAGATTCGAGACTCCAAAAACCTTAACGGCCAAGTTCTCTTATGTACCGTATTTACGCATGTATAGGCCGCGTGCGTGTATAGGCCGCAGCACAATTTTCAGACAGAAATTATAGAAAAAATAATTTTCTTGGAATATTNTACTGTCTCAGATTCGAGACTCCAAAAACCTTAACGGCCAAGTTCTCTTATGGTATATCTCCCAGGAACAGGGTGGTACAATTATACCTCCAGTCACTGTGTTCCCTTTTCGTCGCCTCCTACGACTCGCAGGGCTATGGTGGAGGAACTCGAACCCTCCTCCACGAGGATGTATAAGAAATTGCTAACTTGTCCTCGTTATAACACCTCGGATTTAAACCGCTAGGAAAACGTCTCTTCCATTTTTGATATGTCATATTACAGCGAAACTTGTACTCACAATTTCTGTTCTTTTTTACTTTTTTTCTAACGTCCAGTGTTCTAGAAAAGAGAAAACACGATGTTTCGGAAACTGGATCTGTCTCCGTCCTCATGAGAGGGAAGGGGTTAAGACACATACTCAGTTGGGTCCCTTAGAAAGAGCTAGCTTCAACCACTGGTCAACCCCTTGTCAGTCAAAGTCAGTTACTATACAACTGCTAGTGTACCGCCAATCATCTCGTCTTGGCGACAAGTCCCTTAAGACCCATGACCATAATTTTTATCTTTCAACTCAACACTTGCGGTTATAGTCCGTATGTGACATCCTCTCTGTTGAGAATTTTAGACTCTATGACCTTCATAGTGGTCTTTATTTAGTTTCTCCGTACAAATTCTGGCATACAAACTTAAAATCGGTCACACTCGCTTCCTTTCTCACCACAACTGATACGCCATTAATTATCACGCTGTCTTCGGCTGCCATGTAACTATAGCAGTGGGAAAGAGTCATTAAATAAACGGTGAAAAATCTATCTTCACTGTACAGGTTTTGAGTGTGGCTGCAGGTTCTATTTCATCTAAGATTGCAAGAAATTATTTTTTTCTGAAAATTATTAACGAAAAATATTAGGGATTACTCTTCGATCCTGTTTTGATAAGACACAAACGTAAGTACTTACAAGTCTTACAAGGCTTACAAGTCTAGTTCACTTCCGAACCCTCTGATAAAAATATTTGTGTTGCCTCAGTGCACCATTGCAATGCCGGACACAAAGTTGGGGACTATGGAGTGTAATCTCTTCCCTGCTTCAACTTCTTTGAGATCATGTGGGGGTTATTCCTACTTCCCTATTGATTTTGGCGGGGGCGCTAACTGAACTAGAAGTACACAAGTTGGCTTTGTACCAACACACCGCTGTAGAACGATGTTGTACGTAGCTTTTTACGAACACTGAATATGAGAATCTGATGTAAATTATTTTCCCCTACTTTTTATACTTAATATAAAATAAATTTGTTCTTAAGAGTGTAGTTTAGTCGTAATATAATACATTAAAGTCACAGGTTTTGGGCTGAATAACAATCCCGAGCTGTTTGAACCCTCACGCATTTGTTTTAAAGCGATCATTACACGAAGAGCGTAAGATTAATGCAAAATCTGAGAATGTATCTGTCTATCCGCTTTATTTTCGTCTACGAAAATATGGATCAGATTCGAAATAAATTTGATATTAGATTATGCACTAGAACTGCTGAGCTGATGCAGTCCTGCTTGTCATCTGTCAAATCCAGTTTTACTTGAAGTTCAAAGAGGACAATGATACAGTAATTCATCGTTAATCCGAAGTAATTGGGGGGATAGGCCATTAGGATTAAATGATAATATTGACTATTGAAGCAAAACGCAGCTCTAAAAAAAACTTAAAACACAAATAAATTGAAACT